AGACCCCGCCGCCCCTGGCCTTCTCTGCGGGGAGCCCCTCAGGAGGCGTGGCCACATGGGAGCCCCGCCCTGCACTGGGGGCAGCCTGTTTGCTACATGCCTGTGGCCACAACAGTCTGCTGAACGTGGGTCTTGCCCTTGAATTTTTTTTTAATAATTGGGATCACGTAGTATGTAGCATTTAACCCTTTTTAATATTATGTGTGGTGGTTAATTTTATGTGTTAATTTGGCTGTGCTACATACAGTTCCCAGGTTTTGGGTCAAACACTATTCTAGATGTTTCTGTGAAGATATTATTTTTATTTTATATATATATATAATCAATTTCAGAGAGGAAAGGAGAGGGAGAAAGAGAGTCACGGGTCGGCTGCCTCTGCACACCCCCTATTGGGGATATCAAGCCCAGGACCCTTCAGTCCGCAGGCCAATGCTCTAACCAGTGACCCAAACCGGCGAGGGCAAGCGAGAGGGACTCTTAAGTTCTCTCTTCACTGATGCTTCCCAGGGCTGGGCTCCTGAGAACCAGTGAGGACCGCAGGAATCCAGAAATTACAGCCCCACTTTGCAGGCCGAGGCCTGGTCCCGGGTCACCGGGCCGAAGACAATGGCTTATTTTCCCAGGATCCACCACGGCGTGGCAGGCCGAGGCCTTCCCTGCGGCCACCCGGCTCCCGGCTCCAGCACGGCCCCCGGGACGCCCCAGGGTCCCCAGCCAGCGGTCCCGGCTGCCAAAACCCTGCCAGGACTGATTCATTCCTTCCACAACTTTTGAAAAAATTTCAAGGTCATTTCACAAAGCTCGGAAATTGAATCCAAATCCACTCCCGATTCTCGCCCTCTTCCCTCTAAATCTGCGTTCCTAAGCCTCTTAGGGAGAAGACAACTATTATATCTTATCAGCTGCTCCGGGTCTTAAGCCCCTGTCCTGTGGCCATGCAAACACTCCCACACCGAGGACAATTAGAGAAACAATTAGCAACAAGGTGTGTGCCTGATTTCCTAATTCCAATCTGCTTCTGTCAGGGTGGCCCTGCTATGGGAGGGCGTCAGACACTGCTGGGGGCCTTCGTCTGATCCCCTCCAGCCTCTCCCCAAGCCCACTCAGGGGGAGGACCCCTCCCCATCCCTCCAGCACCGCACCCCGCCGGTGGAGGCTGGGACCAGTGCCCAGCGCCCCCTGCCCCCTCTAAAAAAATTTTTTTAAAATATATTTTATTGATTTTTTACAGAGAGGAAGGGACAGAGATAGCTCTCTCTCTCTCTCCCCTGCGCCCTCGTGTCGCCCAGCCCTCCCCGCTGGGACTCCACCTTCATGAGGGTGAAGGGACCCATTCCCCCTCCTTCGTCCCCGTAAGGAGGTGACCGATGAGGTGTGCGATGAACAAAGGAAAGCGAATTGGGGGGCGCACCGGAGGGACCCAAAGAGCTTGGGGGGGGGGGCGGTCTGGGTGCCTAAACTGCTTTCCTTGAGCCCCTGAAAACCTCCCTGGATTCAGGAAATGAGCTCCCTGTCACCCCCACCTCCTGCCACGTCCGCACGTCTGAGAGGCCACTAGCTCAGGCCTGTCAGGAGGTGCTCTCAGGGTGAGGTTAGCAGAGCAGCCGAATTTCCCCCGCCCCCGCCCCGTGCCAGCCCAGAGCCCAGAGCGAAAAGCTGCGCTCCACGGAGCTCCCTCACAGTCAGGGGTCCATTCGGCGCCCGCGCCCGCCCCCGCCCCCGCCCCGTCACTGGGCCAGGTGACCGCACCGGAGGAGCTCCCCACACCTTGCCGGACCCGCAGGGGTCTGTGGGAAGCCCGCTCGGCCCGTCAGCATGTGCCAGGGCCAGGCTTTTACCGGGGCCTCCACTGCCATCCGGAAAAGGGCCCTGCCTCCCGCCTCCGGGGCGCCTGGGGCCTTCCGGAAGCCTCTGCAGGGGACAGTGCTGGGCCCGGGGTCAGCACACTCATCTGTCCACAGAGCCAAACAGCAACAGCACAATGACTGACATTCCTTTGGAGAGCCACATTTTTTAAACTTAAACTTCTTCTAACGCCACTTCTTCAACATAGACTCACCCAGGCCGTGGCATTTTGTGGAAGAGCCGCACTCCAGGGGCCAAAGAGCCGCAGGTGGCTCTCGAGCCGCAGTTTGCCGACCACGGGGCAGGCGAACGTTGGGGTTGCAGGGGCGGCCCTGCTCTCTGCACTGAGCGGCAGTCCACTCCTGTGTCCGGGGCAGCAGCAGGCACGTGCTGCGAACGCCTGTCCACAGCCGCGGCCACAGAAAGCGCAGGGATCTGTGAGCGCCGGGCGTAAGGACATGGGGAGGGCCGTGTCTCCTGCCGATGGCAGTTCTCCTCTTGGCCCGTGTTAACGCTCAGCCCGGTCTGCTCAGCTGTGAGATGGGAGAACACCTTCCGTCCCAGGGGAGCTGTGCGGCGCAGAAAACACTCAGGCTGGCACCGGCGTACGCCCAGCCCGTTTGAACACACACACACCACTCCGCACACCCTGACCCCACTCCCCACCATCGCGAGGCCCGAGACTGCTCGAGGCCGCGTGCCGCCTGCTCCGTGACACCAGCCAGCCTCCCGCCCCCACAGCGGGCTGACGGCAGACGGAGCCCTGCTGGCCTGGGACTGCAGAACCAGGGCGGACTGTAAACAGACAGCCACCCTGACATTCCCTCCCTCCGTGTCACTGTGTCTAACGCCTGTGAGCGGAGCCGTCCTGCAGCACTGCTCCGGCGTGGCCACGGGGGCGCAGCCCCCCCTTCTGAGCTCCCCCAGGGGCTTCTGGGGGAAATGTCCAAGAACCTGCTCCCCCCGGGGCCCCCTCCCTACACTCGCCATGGACCCCTCTCCAGACGGGGCAAATGCACACTTTTTAAAACACAAGGTCCCCCACACGGGGAAGTGTGAGGGCGCGGTATGGACAGAGACACAAAGGGGTTCACAGAGTCAGGAAGGTGTCAAGTGCCTCAGGGTGGGATGCTGCTGCCACTGCTGCCCTGTCAGAATGTTCTAGAGCCGTGGTCTGCAAACTCATCAGCCCACAGAGCCACAGATCAGCACAACGGTTGAAACTTCTTCTGAGAACCAAATTTTTTAAACGTAAACTCCTTCTAACGCCACTTCAACATAGACTTGCCCAGGCCGTGGTATTTTGTGGAAGAGCCACCCTCAAGGGGCCAAAGAGCCACAGTGGCTCTCGAGCCGCAGTTAAGTCAGCGCCCATCCTGGACCCCTGCAGGCTCACCCCTCTGCAGGGGAATGGGGTCCGCACCCGGAGCAGCCATGAGGAGCAGAGAGCCCAGCAGGCGAGGCCCCCACCCCGGAGGTCTGCCATCTGAGGGCAGAGGGCGGCCAGCACCATGAGACCCTCTGAAGGGGAGGCAGGGCTTGCTGAGCGTTTCTCCCCAGCGGGAGCACTTCCCGTTATGGTGTAAGACCGAGCTGTCCCTCTGTTACGAACCGAATGTTGTTCAGACAGTTAACCTTCCAGAACCTCAATTTCCTCGTCTGTGAAAACGGTGAAGACATTCCCCACCCCCAGAGCTCTCCAAAGGAAAGTGAGATCATGTACACAGATCCCGAGGTGCCGGCCGAGACAATAAAAATCCTTATTTCTAAAGGAGTAACCACTCTGCTCACGTTCGCCATCGCGGTGCCCGGCTCAGGGACACGGAGAGCGAGGAGCAGAGGCCGGTCCTTGGTCCGAGGTGGCCCAGGAGGGAGCCTGGGTGTGAACCCGCGACCTCGCCCCCTGAGGGGGCCCTGGCTGTGGCCACCCCCTCCCCCTCTGCGGTCTAGGCGTGCTCCTTATTCAGGAGGCGTGACTGAGAGGCACTTCATATCCCGCCAGTGTCACCTCATCTACTCCAGAAGCACCTTTTAAACATGTAAGCAGCTGTGAGAAAACCTGCCTCTTGTAAAGAGCTGTTACCTCGCACGGGCTGAGGCCACAGCGGCACGCACAGCCGCCCCGGAGGGTCCTCACACCCAGGGCAGCGCAGCGCGGCAGGAAACGCGGCTCACACACTCCTGCTCCGAGGCGGACACATCGCCGCTGAGCTGGGAGCTCAGTCTTAGCTTCCTCGTCTATAAAATGGATTTACCGCAACATCTACAACATTCCTGCAGGAGAAGCCACTTGTGCCGGCCCTGGGTGTCCTCTCCTCCCTCCCGTCTGGTCTGGGAAATCACCCCGAAGGCTTGCCCTTATATTCCTCCCTGGCCGAGCACTCTCTGGCCTTATCCAGCCTTCGCAGGAAGAGGACGGGCGCCCAGGCTGGCCCCGCACTCCTGTGGCCCAGCCAGTGCAGAGAAAGACCTTTGGGGAGAAGGCAGGAGGAGCCCACGCTCCCGCCTGCACTGCCTCCTCCTCCACAGCCGGCCAGTGCGCTCTTAGGCCCGGTTGGCCTGGCTGCCAGGCCCCCAGCACCAGCGCTCAGGGAGAAGCTCTAAGGGCCCAGCGCTGGTCTCCACTGGCCGGGGCACGCAGCCCTAGCCGCTGGGCAGGAGCCAGGCCAGCAGGACTGTGGGCAGAAAGGCTTGCCCTGGAGAAGACGGGCGGCAGCAGCGCCCAGGAAAGGCCAGGAAAGCAGAGGGAGAGAGGGCACACCTAAGCCCGACTGCACCGCCCTCACCCCTCGGACAGCAGGGCCTGCTGAGCATCCCAGGCTCCGCAGCTCCCCTTTGGATCCTGCTTCCCCAAACAGCTTCCTGCTTGCACAGGAGGGAAGGACCTTGGCTCTCCCAAGGGTCTGGGGGAAGGGGAACCTGAGGCTGCCCCTCTCCTGGCCCCCAACAGACCCCAGGCTCCCCACCCCTTCCAGGAGACCTAGAAACCAGATGTGCTTTCAAACCAGAGCCCCCGCCCCGTGTTTCACGCCCAGTTTCCTTTTCTTTTGGACACGGCAGAGCTGCCCAGTTTTCCTTCCAAAGCTGGGCTACACGGCTTTGTTTTCTGGCCTCAGCGGTCCCGGACAGGCGCAAAACACAGCCCGTGGCCCATCTACATGGCCGTCACTTTATTGTGTTGTCACCTTTAACTTAACTATAAATACTACAGCGAACGAGCGAGGCGCAGGTGGCTGCGGCTGTGGAGGACTGCGGGGCTAAGAGCCACCCAGCGCTGCCCCACCCGGGGGACAGCAGGCCGCCGGCCCGGCTCTGTACACTATTTACAGCTCCGGTTCCGCTCCGGCCCTGGCCCTCTCCTGCAAGGCGGCGTGTGTGCAAGAAAGTGGCATCGTCTGTCTGTGCAAGTCCTTCCAGCGCGGCGAGCGCCGGGCCAGCCGCGGCCGTCAGCTGTCTGAGTCCAAATCGCTTTTACCTTCCTCTTCCCTCTTCTCGGGCGATGCCTTGGAGGAAGGCTTGGGCCACTTCTCGGCGTTTTCAGACTCCTCTGAGGAGGACCGCTTCTGCCGCCGCCACTTGGCCCGGCGGTTCTTAAACCAGACCTGGCGCGCACGGAGGACAGAACAACGGTTACAGCAAAGGCTCGCTCGCTGGCTCCCCCAAACCTGGGCACCCCGGGCAAAACCCTGTGACTCAGAACCCCCGGACAGGAGAGCGCCCGCGGCAACAAAAAGAAAGGAGACTCGCTCCCTCTCCCGCATTTCCCGGCCTCTTCCTGGGCCTAGATGGCCCTCCAGGCCTCCCCGCCGCCTGCTGGGACAATGCGGAGTGGGGAGGCCCAGGGAGGCGGCCCGGCCCGGCGGGGCCCCCGGATCGGGGAAGGGCCTTGGGGAAGGTCTCGGGTAAGGGGCCGCGCCTACCTCCACCTTCTCCTCGCGGAGGTGCACCTTCCGCGCCAGCTGCTCGCGCGTGCCCACGTCGGGGTACTTGGTCTCCTGGAAGAGGTTCTCCAGCGCCTCCAGCTGCTCGTCGGTGAAGATGGTGCGGTGCCGCTGCTTCCGCCTGCAGTGCAGCTGGTTGAGGAGCTGCAGCTCGGAGCGCGACAGCGTGCCCACGTTCATGTAGGGCAGCATCTGGTGCGGCACCGGCGACACCAGCACCGAGCCGGGGCCCTCGTAGCCTGCGGGGAGCGGGCACGGTCAGCGGCCTCCCGGCCCCTGGCCAGCCCCCGCCGCCGCCGCTCCAACGCTAAGGAAACTCGCCTACCAGGGAGCGCTGGGGTGGAGGGGCATGGAAACCAGGGGTGCAGGGAAACGGGGGGGATGCGCCAGGGTCCACCCACACTCCAAAGCCCTAAAAGCCGGAGCCTCCTCCGCAGACAGTTCCCGCTAACTCCCATCAGGTCGCAGCAAGTGCAAACCCCTGCCCCATCGGCAAACACGGAGGAAAAGAAAATAAACGGGGCGCGGGGAGGGATGATCCAGGTTGGCAAGAGGAGGAAAGTCAGGGGGAAGTGGGAAAGCTGGCGCCGCCGCCCGCCCGCCCGCGCCCGAGGCGCAGGCCCCGCGGCGGCGGAGGCCGGGGAGCGGGACCTACCTGGCGGCGCGGGGACGCAGGAGCACTGGGCGCCCAGCGGCGGCGCGGCCCCGCAGCACCGGGCCCACGGGCGCCGCCTGCACGTGCAGCTGCCCGTGGAAGTTTAATAGTTGCGGGAGCCCAGGCGGGAGCCGCGGACCACGGCCGGGAGGCCCGCGCCGCCGGGGACCGCGGGGCGCCGGTAGAAGGCGTCCGCGGAGGAGGCGGTGCTGCCGCCAGCGCTGTAGAGCGAGTCCCCGTGCAGCGCCAGGAAGACAATGGGGGCCGCGGGGCGGGGAGCCACCCGCAGCACCGCATCCTTGCAGCGCGGCCCCGCGGCCAGGATGTTGTCGATGCTGAACATGCTGGCGGGCATCCCCGAGCCCCGCGCGGGGCCGGGACCGGGACCGGGACAGGGGCGCTTGGAGGAGGAGAAGCGCCTCAGCGTGGGGGGGTCCGCGCCTCCGGAGCCGGAGCAAACCGAAAGAGAGCGCCGGCGAGCGCGGCCGCTCCCTCCCTCCCCGCCCCTGCGCCCGCCTCCCTCCGCCTCCGCCTCCGCCTCCGCCCCGCCGCCCCCGCGCTCAGCCGCGGGCAGCACCGAGTTTCACGCAGCTGAGCCTCTCCTTGGTTTTATACGGAGCCGACGTCATCCTGGATTTGGTTCCCGGTAATATGCAGATGACAAACAGGCCAGACTCGGCCCTCGCCTTCCTGGGGGGGGGGGGGGGGGGTCTGGTGGGGGGAGGGGCAGAGGTGCAGGGGGGAGGGGGCGAGAGGGCCCGCACAGAGATTGTGGATTGCAAATTAATGAAATTAACCTAATCTTTCCCTTTCGGCCGCCCCGCCGCGGGCCTGGGAGCGGGGCGGGCGGCCTAATTGCCCCGTTAATCTCATTAATGCCTTCGTGCGGCCTCCGTGCCCCGCCGACCCTCCGCCCCACCTTTCCCCGCGGATGGGGTCCTATTATTGGTGCCATTTCCTCCACAAAAAGCTCACATTCATTGTGGCCCATTCTACTTTGGGGCAACTTTTCTTTTTTCCTCCCTTTCCAATGTTGTTTTGTTTTTTGGAAAATGTGAGGGGCAGCGTCCACCCCCAGGGGCACCGAAAGGTCCGCTCCGGGCCGCCCCGCGCGCTCCTGTCACCTCCGCTTTCTGTGTCTCTGGGGCGGGTTGGTTCCCTTTCCTTGTGGCGAAGGCCAAACTTCCTAAAGGCACAATTGATGGAAGAGGTGCCCGTGCTTCTTTAAATATTTGTACGGGTGTGTTTTATTTATTTATTTTTTGCAGTCACTTTGGGTCTGAAAACTCGCCCAGCAGCCGGTCCCCAGGCCTTGCCCGGCGGAGACAGAATCCGGCCGCTGGCCACGCGGCCACCAGAAGCAGCATTCCGAGCCCGTGTCCAGCTGTGTGTGCCGCGGGGGCGCCGGGAGGTTTTGTGTTTTTCCTTTTTTTTTTTTTGAAAATTAATTATATTTTGGAAACGGGTTGTCTTCTCTCCCAAACTTTCTGTTTCAATACGAAAACGGGGCTTTGGGGATTCCTCCTTCCCCCCAACAATTGAGTCGCGCTTTTCCCCTCCGACTGGCCGGCTCCCGGCCTGGCCAGGCCTCCTCGCCGGCCCTCCAGGGGCAGCCCAGGCGGGCTCCGGCCTCCGCCGCCCGGCTCCGCTCGCCGCCGGCGAGATGTGCGGGGTCCTCCCCGCGATCCTCCGCGGGGCCCTCGCCGGCACTGCCCGCCCACCCGCCGGAGCCTCCGGGTCGCGTCCAGCCCACGACGGGCGCAGGCAGCTGAGCGCCCGGAGAAGGTAGGGACGGAGCGCGCGGAACGAAAGGAGCCCCCAGGCCCCGCGGGCCGCTCCGGCCGCCGCGGGCAGGAAGGAGCAGCGGGGCCCGGGAGGGCAGCCGGGAACGCCGCCCCTGCCCCGCGTCTCCGGGCTGAGCGGCCCGCGGGGCAGCCGGGGTCGCCGCACCGGCTGGGAACGGGGCCGCCCCTGGGCGCTGGGCACGGGAACGGGCACTGTCCGCGGCGGCTCCCGGGCGGACGCCCAACCCGGGCGGCGCGCAGGAGCGGCCGGAACAGGGAAGCCGGTGGCGGCGCTGCTCCCGGGGCCTCCCCGCGCCGCGCGGAGCTCCGCGCCCTCGCCCACCGGGGCCGGAGCGCCCTCCCCGGGGCCAGAGCTCCCACCCGGGGCCGGGGCGCCCTCGCCGGGGCCGGAGCTCCCACCCGGGGCCGGAGCGCCCTCCCCGGGGCCGGAGCGCCCTCCCCGGGGCCGGAGCGCCCACCGGGGTCGGGGCCGGAGCGCCCACCGGGGCCGGAGCCCGCGCTGCCGATCGGAGAGCCGGGCGGACGGAGAAGCGGCGGCGGGGAGGCGGGGGAGCCGCGGGAGCCGGTCTCCGTGCGAGAGGCGATGGGACTTTCCAATGAAAGCCGCTCCCGGAGGCAGCAGTGGGGCCCCTTCGGCGGGGCCAGGTCCCGGGAAGCAGTGCAGCGCCTTCCCTCTCCTTCCCGCCCGCCCGGGCCTGTCCGGGTTCTAGGAGGCTTCACCCCGCCTCTCCCGGTGCAGCGCCGGGGACAGCGCGAGGCGGGCGGCTTTGGGGCTCGGGCCCGGCGCGCGGCGGGGCGCGTTGGGGGACCTTTCAGATCCCGGCCGAGCCGCCGGGACAGAGGCCGCGGAAACGGGGTGAGGTCGTGGCTGTCGGTGGCCGCTGTGCTCAGGCACCCGAGCCGCCTCCGCGGTTCTCCCCGTCCTTCCCCTGCGCCTGGAGCGCCTTCTAAGCATCAGCCTTAGCCTGGCCCGGCTCTCCGCGGCCCCGCGGGCCCACTGACCCCGGAGAAAAGAGCACCGTGCGCGGCCACTTTGGCAAACCACCCCTCCCTCCGGGCCCTGGCTCCTAGGGGTAGAGCTGAGGTCTGCGCTCAGGCCTCCCACCACCCATTTAGAGCGGCTGCCCAATTGTTACCCCTTCCAGCTGAGGCTGGGTGGACTTGGGGGCTTTTTTTTTTTTTAAAGCTTTTTCTTGGGACAAAGGAGTGTGCCTCCCCTACCCCTCACCCCTCACCCCTCCAAGGGTGCCAGCTGGGCCCGAGAAAAGGAAAATCCTTCCCAAGTCCTGCCCTCCCGCAGAGGGGCTTCCTGGGAGAGAGGTCACGGGGGGCCCCAGGCCAGGCTACAGCCTTTACCCCCAGCCCCCCACAGCGGGGTGCCCTGGGGCCTCTGTCTGCTGCGCGGGGCTGGGTCCGCAGGAAGGCAGGGGCAGGGAGGTGGCGGGGCCCTGCAGCTGCCTCCTCTGGCCGAACCCACAAGGGTCCGCCCGCACCTAGCAGACAGCCAGCGGCCTCGCGACGGCCGGCGCCATTGGAATGACAGCCGCGTCCACGCACGCAGATTGTGTGCGGCCCGCAGGCCCCGCTCAGCATGGGAGGACCCCAGCGGCCTGGTAAACACGCCGCTGATTTCCCCCATTACCGCCCAAACACGATCTCACACAAGCAATCACCGCGCACAAGTCCCCGGAAATGTGTTTGCCGAGGCGCCCGTCGCCGCGATAATAGCTCTCATTTTTGAGACATTAAAGGGCGGATCAGCGGATTCCGCGCGCTTAAGGTGAACGCGCGGTACCCGCGTCCGTCTGTCCACCCGCAGTCATCGCTGACCGGGTTCCTCCCGCAGAGGACCTGCTTCTCCCGCGGAACGCAGAGCCTGCCCCCGGCGCCTCCTGTCCCAGGCTGTTTCCACCCGCACACAAGCACCCGCCGCTTGTTACAAGCAAACAAACAAACAAGTAAACAAAAGCCTAAAGATCCGTGGCCCCAGCGTCTCAGAGCTGCGGGAACTTGCTTTTCCTAATTCCTCAGCCTCCTGCCATTTTCGGAGCGGAGCGCATACATAGCTGGATGGTTTCGGGGGGCTCGTCTGTCCTGTGCAGAGAGGGGCCTGTCCTCTAGGCGCGGGGCCGCCTCGCAGGGCCAGCCATGGGGGCAAAGCGCAGGGCCAGCCGCAGCCGGTGGGCAGCACCAGGCCCCCGTGGGTGTCACAGCGACTCCACTGTCTGGGCTTAAAAAACAAAACAAAACAGTGCCTCAAATCTGCCTCAGGGCCCTGCCGCCCCCAGGGGACACTGCTGGTAGCCTGGGGTATTTGCCCCTGGGGGGTTAGGTGGGTGCGGTAGAGAAAGGCACAAATGCCACCCAGCTGCCCCGCACTGGGGCTGGGGCTGCCGCTCCGGGCAGGAGAGACCCTCTTTTCGCAACATCCCAGCTCTTGGCAACCTTCCCAATGAACGCACTGAGCCCCTGGGGACGAAATCATCGAGGTGTTAGGAAAACTCAGCATAACCCTGGGGGTAAAGGAGAGGGTGTGGAAAAATGACGCGTTCGCAAAGCCTCAGAAAAAAAATAAAATAGCTTCCAGGGTTGCAGAAACCGGCTCTCCACAGCGGAGATATTTACTCATTTATTTCCAAAGCGGCTGCCTGTTGCTTTTGCAAATCGCGGAATGCAAATGCGGCTAATTGTCCTCGGCGGGCTTCCTCTTGAAGTGATTAGCGAAGTCAGTCATTTGAAAATTTGAGCGAACGCACCGCCGGTTCCCAAGCCCCTCGCTAATCGATATCAGCTTCTAAAGTTTTCATTCATGTAAACCTCATTAATGAAGATCTTTTATTTAAACGTCAAGGGGATTTGAAATTTAGAGTAAATTATGAAGCTTGTATGTCTAGCCAAGTCATGGGTCAAATGCATTTGTAAAAACTGCTAAAAGAGCATATGGTTTTGAATTTTTCTACAATGACTAGTGTTTAAATAAATTGCTTGTACTGCTTAACTTCATGTGTAATTTTGACAGAAATTGGCCTATAGCCTTTTGATATGTAAACATTTCAGCCTTTTATGCGGCATAAAAAAAGACACGTGCTCTTTAGGGCCGGCTCAGGCGGTCACCCTGTAATTCAGAGGGCTGGCGCGTACCATTACATTCTTGCGAGATTTCAACTTTCAAGTGGCAGCCTCGGGGAGAGAGGAAAAAAAATAGAAAGAAAGAAAAGAAAGAGGATATTTCAAAAGCAATGTCCATTTGAGATGAAAAGCTGCAAATGAGGTGAGAATGTGCCACTTAGCTCTCTGAAAGCAATGGGCAAACCATAGTTATTAGAGAACATTTTCTGTCATTTTTCTTTAAGCCAGCCGGTCCCTCGGAGGGGACACTTATGCAGGCCGGGGGCTGACTGGCAGCTCATTAAATGCTCATCCCGATCCGTCTAACATACAAATAGGTGTTAAAACTCTGCGTCTCGCCTCGGGATGTTCCCTGGGAAATGGCTCCGTGTCACGGAACCCATTGAGATGCAAAAATCACTCCGCCTCAGGGGAGAGTCCTGGTGGGCGCGGAGTCACAGGACACAGTGGCGGTCCCGGCTGTGCGGGGGTGTGCAGGGTGGGAGGCTGTGGGTGGGAGGGTGGACGTCGGTGTCGGTGCCGTTCTGGACGGAAGGCCGGCCCGGCC